GCTTTTTGGACATTCTTAGGAGATTCTGAATAATTTAGAGGACCTCTAAGTTGGCTGAGATTTTGTTGAAAAAGATCATCTTAAAAATATAATAAAATCAACATGAAACTCCCGAGGACTCACCAAGTTATGACTTGGGACCCGATAATTCACAAATCACTAGAAAAGACCCCAGCACTACTTATCCTACATTACTAACTCAAAGATTAAGGGTATGGTCTATGAATAAAGTTTCTAAACACTTTTAAGGAATTAGGGATATTTGGTATGGTCACTTATGGATCATCAGACTGGTGTAAGTCTGGCGTTCAGGTGGTAAGGACAATGACGACATTTCTTATGTGTGCTAAATGAGGGAAATGAAGTTGGATTTTAGAATAGTATCTCCTACCCCAAGGATCCTTCGGGAAAGGAGATAGAACTGATGATATTGTTCACTAACACTTGGAAAGAAGTTAACCCCTTACACTCTTAGGTTGTCAGTATTTTCAGCCTGATTAGGATGCTTAACTCATGGACAATCTAAATTTTCCAAGCATATTTAAATGTAACTAAAATATGATTTTCTCAAAATATCACTGTTTTTGACTGCTAAATAAAGTATTATATGCATGAAAAAGTAAAAGAGTTTTAAAAACAAAATTATAAAAGTCCACTGGTTTTCATCTTGATTAGGCTAGAACTGCTCTCCTGAGATTGTTTGGTTGGTAGATTATGTCCAAGGTTGGAAGCACACAACCCAGCTCTAAGCCCCTACCTTTACTAATTTCTTACACTCAGCCTTGATCTTTGATATGTGGCTACATATTTTATTTTACTTGCTCGTGTTTTTCTATGATTTGTTTTCTTCATACTAGGTTTTTCGTGCTTTTCTAGCTTTCTTTTCCTTGCAATTTACTAAAAATTCATGCAATTATATCATGTTTTATGATACTAACCATGCAGTAGTTGTAGAGGCCCAGGTACACACATTTATATATTTACAGTAATTTCTACTACAACATTTTCTTTTACTACCCTTTTACTTTTGCATTTATTTATATAATTTCAAAATCTTCAGGAAAGAAAACAATTGTCGTTTTACATAGGGCGGATCACTACAAAACCTAAACTCATACCTTTTCATTAATTGGATTAACAATAATGAAAAGAAAAATATATGACATAAAATACTAAACCTGGAGCAGCAATAAGAAGCTCAAAGCAAGCTGTAGGAGATGGATGACGATGATCTACAACAACAAAATATATCTACACAAACTAAAATTTCCCTAGAATTAAACAACAAGCCATAGGTCTTCAACGTAGCTTATCTAGCACAACATAAATCCTTAATTTATGTTTAGGCGTTTGCACAGCCATGTTGTGTAATCTAAGCCCTAACTCGTTTTTGGCTTAGAGGTTGTCATTCCTTATGACATAAACTCTCCTATCTTCCAGGTCATTTGTATGACCATATCAGGCAAATGTAAGCCCTAAATAATGAAATTGAGAGGATGAAACATCAAAATAAAAATCTTTTCCAAACATAAAGCGACAAAATAGGATAGATTGGGAAGTCTCCGAGTTTCTCCTCAGGATTCATGACCTCCTCTACTTTTCTTCCCTTTGGATTCCAAAATAACTATTTCTATTTGATCCATTCCCACTTAACTTTACATGTCAGACATTGAAACCCTAAACTTTGAAATTCTTGAAGACAAATACCTCTTATTTAAATCGAGAGTCTTCTCAGGAGATTTTGGTTTTTTGAGATATAATTAACTATAGGGGTTTGCCTCTTTAAAAAGATTTAGAACTCAAGTAATATAAACCCTATCTAATTTTTTATGTTAGATAGGGGAGCTTGTCAGTTAACATAAGAAAATGTTTCGCATACCAAACATATGTCATAAATTCATTTTTTTATTTAATCATGTCTCACTATCAAGTACCTTGTCTATTCTTCGGGATAGGTGCATTGCTCGTGGTGTTGTGCTCGTTTATTTAAACTATTAAATGAATGAGATCTTGTTAGTCTCATTTTTTAAAATTAAAATGTTATTTTTAAAAGTTAAAATACTATTCTTAAAAATCAAAATGATATATATAAATTAAATTAAATCCAAAGCAAAATTTTTAAGAAAGAATTTTAGCGACCGATAATATAATAAGTAGGATGACCGAAGCAAAGCTGAGCTGAAATGGAGCAAAATAGATGTGAAATGGAGCAAATTGTGGTACAACTGACTAGAGTCAGACACCATCCGAGTAGGCAGATCCCTTGGGGCCTAGGCACCAACCTTGTGGCGTCTAGGTGCCAAAACTGCTTGGAGCCGTTCCTGCAGCTATTTCTACATGCTCGAACTGCCTAGAGCAGTTTCTGCAGCTATTTCTGCATGACTTTGGGAGTCAAAGAGGTGTTGTAGGCAGTTGGAGAAAGGAGCCCTAATCATTTTGAAGCCTCGGGAAGCTAAGGAAAGCAGAGAAGTCATAATTTAGAGTTAGGGTGTTATGTTTTCTTCTTTCTTAGAGAGATTAGAGAGGGGTTGGAGAGAATTCTGTTAGGGGATATACTCAGCATTGCATGAAGCATTTAGAAACCTTTTGACGAGAAACTTTCATCTCTTTTCTCAGGAAAAAAGTTAAGAATTGCATTTTATATTGTCTTGTACTATTTATAAGCACATTTCTAGTGGATTTGCTTTATTATAACATGATGATTTGTGGTGTTTTTTTCATGCATTGTGAGTAGATCTTTCTTAACTTTTTCTTATGATGAATAAGTTGGATGCGTAGGATGTTGGGATGATTATATAATTGATCTTTAAACATCAATGTGATGAGTATTCTTCAAAGCTTAGTTTACTTTTCATACCGACCATATGAACTATTAAAATTTATTGTGCTCCATTATGACTTGGAAGAGTGATGAAGGAGCGATTAGAGTATTCACGTTGAACAATAGGTTATAAGCAAATGTAAACTATAGGGACATGCAAATATATAGAGAAATAGTACTTGATGGGTTAAAATTAGGGTTTAAGGAATTAAAACTAGTTTAACCAAACTACTTTATGCATCAAGAGAGGGAAAAGCAAAGAATTGCTTCGATTTGTCACTGACCACAATTGTGATTTTTGGTATTTTGTTCCTGCACACGACTTAGTTCATTGCAAGGGAAGGGTGGTTTTTATATCTTGATTTTCCCCACTTTTATTAGACTAAGTAAAATTCCCTTAAGAGTAAATCAATTGGATTAGTGAGAATTCAGTAGGGCTCGTAAACATAACTAAAACCAACTTTACTTCCAGGCTAAGACTCATTCTAGTAGGCTAGATCTTTTCCTAAAAAATTAAATGCCGCTTTCCTTGTAGATCGATATTTTGGGCTCAATAATCTGATATTATTGATAAAACATGTACACTTACGTGAAACCCCTAGTGTGCAAGTTTCACATGAACTGGGAAGGGTATCAAGTTTTCGGCACCGTTCCAAGGACAAAGGTGTTATGCAACATTGCTGCACAAATCAAGTTCAAGAATTGATAGTACACGTACAACACCACGAGCGTGTACAGCCCGAAGCACACTAGGAGAGTATTTTCTATAATTATTTAAATCTGAAACTATAATAATTTAATAAAAATTTATTTAACTATTAAAAATATACTCTCTGATTTTGAAAATGTTGTATTAGATAGGTCAAATGAAGAAAATTATCCAGAGAAAATTCTATATCTTTTTTTATTTAAATTTAATTTTTTGTAATTTTTAATAAATTTAAATATGGAAATACATAGAAGATATATTTTTAAATTTTTTATCACAAATTCATTTTTCTTAAATGTCACTGGTCTTCCTGGACTTGTCACATTTTACTTTTTTTTTTCTTTTTTGTAATTTTTAATAAATTTAAATATGGAAATTCATAGAAGATATATTTTTTATTTTTTTTTCCTCAAATTCATTTTTCTGAAATGTCACTGGCCTTCCTTGACTTGTCACATTTTACTTTTTTTTCTATTTTTTTTTATTTATTTTTTTATTTTTTATAATTATTTCATTAAAATAGTATCAAATATTAGAGAAAATTAGGACTTTTGATATTAGACATGTTCTTTGGCCTTAGAAAAATCAGAAAATATCCCTAACCAAATGGGAAATAATCCCTCAAAATTTCATACTATGGTGATTAATGTTTAATTTTAAATGAATAAAACATGATTTGGAGTATTTAATTGATTAAAAAAAAAATTTAACAAAATATTCTTAAATTTATTTTTATTACTTTCTCCTCTGTTGACTAAGTTCAAATTTTTTTTTTTTTTGTAATTTTCCTTTGTTGACATATGAATTTTTTAATTTAATATGTATTTTCTGGATTTATTTAAATCTAAAACACCATATTTATCCACTTAACCACGTCGGCGCTAACTGGATCCTCGGCGTCTCTGAAAGCCTATGTGTTGCTCCGCTATTCATTGTGCTTTCCACATGTCTACCGCGTCACCCTGTGGTCCGCTCCCCTTCAGATGCAAGCCCGCACGGCTCGACCCAATCCGTGTCGCTCGTTTTCATTCGTGTCATCTTTGCCACATTTAAGTTTATAAAAAAATTACCGGATATTAGCATACAGCTGAACAAACTGATTAAAATAGAGAGAACATCATTCGTGTCATCTTTGCCACATTTAAGTTTATAAGAAAATTACCGGATACACGATTACTAACAAAGAATTACTGTAACCATTTCATTGCTGCATAAACTCTCATCCATCACCAAAATATAATGCTAAATCAATATAAATAACAGCTCACAATAAAAACATATTTAATAATCTTATAAAATTATATTCATATTAAAGATTTAAACAGTTACAATAAAACTGTGGAGTTTTTTTTTTTTTTTTTTTTCTTTTTTGGAAAATTAAAAGAACTTCAAAAATATTTATCTCATCTTCCTTTGCATATATGGAAGATGATTAATGAGTGGTAGTTGTATGCATATATTGAAGAATTATCAATGGTGGATGGGGTCGGGGCCGCCAGGAACCAATCCTTTCTCCACGCCATAACGAAGATCGATGTCATTGCAAGTGTCATCGTGGGCAAGGGTTGGGTCAGGCTCATAACCGGCGACTAAAGACCGCTTGCTACGTACATGATAGTTGCTCAGTTGTCGAACATGGCTTCTTCCTGGGATCGGGAGGACGAGGAGGAGGAGGAGGAGAAAGAGAGTGATGACGTGAGGTCTCATGATCAATGCGAAGAAGATGAGAAATTGAAGAGACATTTAAATAGTAGAGTCATGGAGGCCAAAAATAATTGAGAAAGAAGAGAGAGAGAGAGAGAGAGAGAGGAATGGTAGTTGTGCAATTTGCTATTTTAGATAGGATAGCTCAGTCAATTACACGTCACCATTATAAAAAATTTTATCATCTCTAGTTTGGTGATTTGTGAACTAATTTACTTTAATTAACTATTGGTGTTGAAGAGAACATTGAATTTGTGGCTAGCTTATAGGAACTACTCAACATGTTTAGTCATGCATACGTAATCGTTTTCTGTCTTATCTCACTTATAAGATACAGACTATAACTGTGAATTTCTAATATTTGTTGTAACCAGTAATTAATTGTTTTTGGGACATTTACGAGCATTCCACTCAATGATTATGAATTTAGATTTCTAACCCCTAAATTTTACTTTATACATGTATACCACTCAAATCATTCGTGTCACATAAAAAATATCTCCATTTTTTACTCTTAAAAAGTATAATGCACCTTTTCATGCATACATATGGTGATGTGTATGTAAAAAGTGAACTTTAGATGTTAGATATGTATATAAATAGGAATTGAGCTTGTGTTGGTGTCGTGTTGGTTGGCAGCTTCGGCGTAAGTGCACTCAGTCTCGAGTTCGAATCCATCTGATTCTAGTTAGCACATATGGGTGGGGTGGACAGACACATGCTGTCGTCCATCTTTTTTTCGAAAAAAAGGAGTTGAGCTTTATGTATGTAAATCTTTCATTATTTTTTTTTCAAGTTGACACAATTAGTTTTGGAAATGTACCCTGTTCAACTATTTTGTCATCGTTAAAGCTGGCCTTCTGTCTGTCGGATAAGGCCTCCGTTGAAATGATTGTTGATTGTACTGCTAAGGACGTTGGTAAGGCGTTCAAAGTTGTTCGGCTTGTATCTGCATCAGTTGCTTGCCTCTATCTATTGTTACAACTGTCCCAGTTCTCTTCTCAAAGGCTTTCACATGCTTTGGTTTTTCATTTCTTTCTAGAAATCTGAGTTATTTTGCTCCTTCTTGAAGACTCTATGCTTAGCTTTCAAAAGTCTTAATTGTGAATTTTTTGAATAGAATAGGTACTGATCCGTGAATGCACTTCAGTAAAATTTTGATAGCATGTTGTTCATGGAGTTGCGGCTCACATTTCATGCTTAAATTCTTCCATTGCATAATTTAGTCCACCAAGATTTCCACTGGCTTTTGTTGCTGATCACCTACAGTGATATGATGTTGAGCGCTACTGAACCTCTTAATAAACAGGTTTTCTAACTCTGTGAACATCCTTATCGAGCATTAGGGCAGCTCTGCATACTAGTCGAAGACAACTCCTGTAAGGTTGCTCACGAATTGGTGAAACAACAACGCTTCGCTACCCCCTGCATAGGAGCAGCTTGCTCGAAAGTGTGCAAAATACTGTCAGGGGTTACCGGTTCCATTAAAAGTTCTTAAGAACAATGGCACAAAAATCTTGGGATATTGTGTTGAATTGAACTTCTCCAAGTAAGGTCTACTTTTCTGAACCAATGCTACTTTTTTTTACTGAGCTAGTGCTTCTCTCACATGTTGTTCCACCACCTATTTAATATCCTTCTCCGGTACCAAGCTTTGTACGGAGTCTTTTTGCGGTTTTCCATCTTTACTGACTAAAGTAAACTCTTTTCTCTCATCTACGATATGTAGAATTTTTGGCTGATTTGCTTACTTGGGAGTAATTTTCAGGGACGGGGCTAGCTTTGTAGTGTAGCCATGACGACCATCATCTCTTCCATTTTATTTTCCATGCGGCTGATTTATTCATCTCTCTGTGAACAACTCTTTCAAACAACGACTTTGCAGTGTTCTACTCAGTAGCTAATGGAGCATCATGTAGAGATGACGAGGATCTAGTTTCAACAGTGTTGATCTTAGCAAACCATTCCTCCATATAGTCTGTTAGATCATAACCTTTATCATTGATGTCCTATTCTTGTTCTTCAGAAAATTGTTTAATGTCAGTTGTAAACTTTTTCCAAGGAGACCTCGATCAATTTACCTTTGACAGCTATAAGGTCGATTGGTGGCTCTTGATGAACATCCTCTCCTATGACATGCTCTAGTGTAATTGTGGTGCTAGTGGTCAAAATATCAAACTTATAGTCATCTTAGAGAGATGCTCCCTAAACTTTTCTGTAGTATCGGCCCAACGACCTTAGGTCTCCACGACTTCTACTCTGATACTGAAGTTTTGATATGGGATTTTTTGTAAGCAATATCGGCTTATTAAGAGGAAGCATGGTCCCTAACGCACGTACCATATCTGGTGATGAGTTATCCCTTGTCATTATTTATCCTCGGGGGTTCTTCACATATGGTGACAGACGGTACTTGATGCGTGGTTTTGTGTTGTATATTTTTTATAAAAAATTTTCAATATTACAAAACACACACACAGCAATGCTAATAATAAATATGCAATTCAAATCCAAATAAAAATAACTTTAATAAAAATAATTTTATCTTTTAAAATCTTTAAATTGTCATTGTATTAATAACTCAAGTAATAAAGGACTCTAATGGAGTCCTAGATATCGATCATACGGGGAAGTTGGAAATGCCTATGACTAAATTCTTATGATTATAACATAAAACACAATTCAACCTACAAAACTTAAGTACAAAATTCGAATCTAAAGTAATTTAGTGTATGCTAAATAAAATGCAGTTACAAAAACTAAGTTAAATAAACTAATTACTAAATTTCAAAAGTAAAATTCTATAAACTAAACAAAGTTTCTGTCATGAAGACTTCAAATTTAAAAAAGCATCATTCCCCTTTACAATGAGTAAATGATTTGTGAAGTAATTAAAATCATTTAAAAATATATATATATAATTGTATTACGCCAAAAAGGAGAAATCTTACTCTATACCCTCTCTCAAGTGCATAAAGAACATTGATTAATCCAGAGTTTGGTCCCTAATTTCATAGTTAGGTTGGGAGGATTTCGGCTCTCACTCTAGAGCTCCCACTACTCCCTCGCCTCCCACTACTCCCTCGCTCCCACTACTCCCTCGCCTGAGGGCTAATAATCTTGCATTAGTTTCCAATCAACTAGACCAAATTGGGGATTTTAATCTGTCACCTAAAAATCTCCATTTTTGCATAAAAAAAGTATATTTCCCGATTTATTTGCACTCAACCCCATTGATAACATCATCAACCATGAACTTGAATGTGACTCTTACCATGTTGTAGAAATTATAACCCTTTTAGCATCATATGTTTCTCAACATATTTTAACATTTCAATTGGACAGATTGAAAAGTAAATGAAGATCTGAGTTCAAATCATCACAAATTTTTTATATTTAAAACTGTAGAATAATGAATATTGCTCATTCACAAAACCATATCTCAGAGTAGGGAGAAGAATAATGAATATTGCTCATAATTCATGAGATGGATACGATAAAATTCGAATTTCATATATAAAATAAGTTTACAAAATAAAGAAATAAATAACACAACTTATCTCACAATCTATCCCAAGAAAATCCCTAGAAGTTCTCTTTAAGCACTTTCCCTCTTTACAAGCACTCTCAATTCTCTCTTGGAAATATAATGAAAGAGAAATCTCTCACTTTCCCTCTCCTCTTACAACCTGACAGCGACTTTATATATACTTAAAAATATAAATAATTAATACTGCTGCTAAAAGTTTTAGTTCATCAGCAACTGTACCAAAACTTAATAACAGTTATAAATTCGATAAAGATGGACGTAACAAATATACAATAATTGTAAAGGCACACTTATCAACGCAAGTATATGTATCGCTCAAGTAATATAGGGCTCTAATGGAGTCCTAGATATTGATCTCACAGGAAGTAATATCAGAACTATGAACTAAGATTTTAGAAAAGCAATACTTTAATCACAATAATGAAATTCAATTTGCTTATCTGTCACTATTAAACAACTGAAATACATATATAAAATTCAAAGCTAAATTTAGTAAATAATAAACTAGGTTTTGTGATGAAAAGTTCAAATTTAAGAAAACATCATTCCCCTTACAACGAGATTATAATCATTAAATCATTAAATTGAAGAAAATTGTATTGTGTCAAATAAGAACAATTATATTCTTTATCATTTTTACAAGTAATAAAGAACATTATATAATCTAGTGTTTATCCCCTGAATCTGCGGTTTGGCTGGTAAGATACTGGCTCTCACTTCGGAGCTCCCACGTTCCCCTCCCCTCAGGGCTAACATCTACACTTCAGCACCCAAACGATAAGACTGAATTGGGGATTTTAGTCTCTCAGTCTAAAATCTCTGATTCTACGCCCATCAAAGTACATTTCCCTATTTATTTGCATTCAACTCCCATGAACTTAAGCATCCATGGAATCTAAATGTGGTTCTACTTTGTTGAGAATTACACAGCCCTCTTGGGTCTTAGTGTAATTACAATGAATTTTAACACTACAACAGGCCTTTATTGTAATGTAAATAAAGTGCAAGTAAAAATTATCATATTTATAATTAAATCTACTTTTAACATGCATCATAAAATCCTAAACATGAATTCTACTCATTACAAAAGAAAAGTAAAATAAAAACAATGGCATAATTTTCTCATACCATTATTTCCAAACAAGAAGATAGAGTAAGAGAAACACATCACAAAGCACGAAGAAAACACAACGAAAAACTTCATTTCATTAAAGCAAATCCACTAGATAAGTGTTTACAAAGCCATAAAATAATGAAGAACACAATACTTAGCTTTTTTCCTTTGAAAGAAGGACGAATATCTCTCCCACAAAGTCTTCGCCGATCCATGCAATGTTAGAACATCTCCTTGCAAATTCTCTCAAAATCTTTTCTCCAATCTCTCAAAAAAGGTATAAATCTACATTTCTACTCCTACTCTAAAAACCCTAAACTTTCTCCACACTTTTCCTAA